CAATAGGTGTATGTATGGATGTATGTATGTATGGATGTATGTATGTATGTATGTATGTATGTGTGTATGTATGTATGTGTGTATGTATGTATGTATGTATGTATGTATGTATGTATGTATGTATGTATGTATGTATGTGTTATGTGTATGTGTGTCCAGGGTATGTAAATGTGTGTATGTATGTAATGATAGTGGTCCGTATATTAATCATGGTCTTGGCCAGTGGTCCGTATATTAATCATGGTCTTGGCCAGTGGTCCGTATATTAATCATGGTCTTGGCCAGTGGTCCGTATATTAATCATGGTCTTGGCCAGTGGTCCGTATAGTAACTGGCGGTCTTGGCCAGTGGTCCGTATATTAAACATGGTCTTGGCCAGTGGTCCGTATGGTTAACTGGCGGTCTTGGCCAGTGGTCCATATATATTAATCATGGTCTTGGCCAGTGGTCCATATATTAATCATGGTCTTGGCCAGTGGTCCATATATTAATCATGGTCTTGGCCAGTGGTCCATATATTAATCATGGTCTTGGCCAGTGGTCCATATATTAATCATGGTCTTGGCCAGTGGTCCATATATTAATCATGGTCTTGGCCAGTGGTCCATATATTAATCATGGTCTTGGCCAGTGGTCCATATATTAATCATGGTCTTGGCCAGTGGTCCATATATTAATCATGGTCTTGGCCAGTGGTCCATATATTAATCATGGTCTTGGCCAGTGGTCCATATATTAATCATGGTCTTGGCCAGTGGTCCATATATTAATCATGGTCTTGCCAGTGGTCCATATATTAATCATGGTCTTGGCCAGTGGTCCATATATTAATCATGGTCTTGGCCAGTGGTCCATATATTAATCATGGTCTTGGCCAGTGGTCCATATATTAATCATGGTCTTGGCCAGTGGTCCATATATTAATCATGGTCTTGGCCAGTGGTCCATATATTAATCATGGTCTTGGCCAGTGGTCCATATATTAATCATGGTCTTGGCCAGTGGTCCATATATTAATCATGGTCTTGGCCAGTGGTCCATATATTAATCATGGTCTTGGCCAGTGGTCCATATATTAATCATGGTCTTGGCCAGTGGTCCATATATTAATCATGGTCTTGGCCAGTGGTCCATATATTAATCATGGTCTTGGCCAGTGGTCCACCTGTGACTCCACAAATACCTGGGTGTAACACATGATGCGTCAGTGACAGTTTCCTCTCATTTCCCCCTCCACCTTCCCCTCTTTCCCACTCCATCTTCCTCTCTTTCCCCTCTCCATCTTCCCCTCTCAATTTCCCCTCTTTTCCTTCTCCATCTTCCCCTTTTCCCCCCCTCCATCTTCCCCTCTTTCTATCTCCATTCTTCCGCCTTTTCCCCTCACTTTCCCTCACTCTTTCTTAGTCAATTGTCCCCTCAATCGTCTTCCGTCTTCCCCTCATCTTCCCCCTTTCTCATTCTATCTTCCGTTCCTTTTTTCCCTCTTTCCCCTTCCATCTTTCCCTCATCTTCTCCTCCTTTCTTAATTCATCTCTCCTCTTCATCTCCCCTCACCTTCCCCTCACCATTGGTCTTTCTCGTTCTATGTTTTTATCCTCTTTTCTTCTTTCTCTGTCTATCTTCCCCTTACTTTTCTCTCTTCATCCCGTCTCCTACCCTCTTTCTCCCCTTACTATCCCCCTTTGTCCCCCGTTTCTCCCCTCACATTCCCTCTCTCCCCCATTTCTCCCTTCCTCCCCTCACCTCCCCTCACCACCATACCTCAAGACATCAGTAGCGATAAAAGAAACATGTGATTTTTTTCTATGTAAAAAATCTGAGCCAATAAAGTAAGAATTTAATCTGATATTGAAATTAAGATGAAAAATTCTGGACCCATAGACAGAATTTATTATATAATCGGAAATATAAATATAACTTATAATTTAAAGCGAAAAATAAGGTATATGAAATAAGGAAAGTTTATATATTTTGATAGAAGTCTTGTCCCTATATAAAAAAGTTTGGAATTTAATAATAAAACTCATAATTGATCCCCAAAATATTAAGAGTAATTATTGGGTAATTTTGTGAAAGTATGGAATTATATATAAGAATTTGATATGATATAAAAATTATTAATAAGGATTTTGAAAATATTACTTTATTTTTTATGAAAGTTTTAGCTGCACCTCGTAATAAAAACTAAAGTTAAATTGAAAAATGTTAATAGCGATTAAAGATATTATAGTTTTATGAAAGTTTGGATCCCAATAATAAAAAGTTTTAAGAGAGATTAGAAAGTTCTAAAGGAAATAAGAAAAAGTTAAAAAGTACAGCACATATATTGAAAGTTCTGAACCCACTGAGGAAAAAGTTTGAAAATAAATTGAAAGATCTTAGAGAAAAAAAAAAGATTGTTAAATTGAAAGTTCTGAACGTAAAGGGTATCACGTCTAACCTAACCTAACCTAACCAAGGACCTCACCTCACCTCCCCCACACCGCAGTACTCCCCCCCCCCTCCCCCTCACCAACTCTGTGTTATAATTACCTTGCTTTAATGTTTGTTGATAACGTGAGAACTGCCGGACTCTGTTATACTCTATAGCTTCTGGTATCTCTGTCTCTATCTCTCTCTTTGTGTCTCTCATCTTCTATCTGTCTCTCATCATTTCTGTCTCTGCCTGTCTCTCTTTGTCTCTCAGGGAAACAGACAAATAGTTAACAGACAGACTCACCTTGACTAACGCAGAGTCACAACACAGACTTTCAGATAAAATCACAGCTTATACAAGACTTAACAGACAGACAGACTACAATAACTTCTGTCAGGATGTGAATATGAACGAGTTATTCCCCGCATCGTCCGCTATTGTACAGTTGTGTGGTATTTAGTGTTCAAGTGGTTGTAAGTCTGTTGGTTATGATCCCAACTCCCTGAAACTTGATCACAACCAAGGTCAAGGTGACGTGTTGTTGTGTACCAAATTTGGTCAAGATCTGATCACACTTGGCGAAGTTATTGTGTGTAGGACTAATTGTCTCGGACTTACGAACGGGCGGACGGACGGATAGACGGACGGATAGACGGATGGATAGATGGATGGATAGATGCTTCTGCTGTCTTTCCACTCCACACCCTCCTCCATCCCTCTAGATAGACTGGCAGGCCACCCCCCCCCATTGTCACACCGGGCGGCCCGCCTCCTTGTCAAATCACCCGGTCACCTCCCCTACGTCACACCGGCCTCCTCTCCATCACACCGGCCTCTCTACATCACACTGGCCTCTCCTATCATATACCGGCCTCCCCCCTACGTCATACCGGCCTCTCCTACATCACACCGGCCTCCCTACGTCACACCGGCCTTCTCCCGTCGAGCACTGGCCTTCACCTCATTACACCGGCCTCCACGTCACACCGGCCTCTCCAGTCACACCGGTCCGCCGTTCCTGGTACCCTGGTTGGCACACTCACCGCCACACAGTTTAATCAAAAGTATAATATCTCCGGCGGCCAGAGAATTTTTAACCCATAGTTATCTCATTGATTTGGCTGTTGACCTAGTGTAGTGTAGATGTTGAGGGCGAGGTGGTGGTGGGCGGTGAGTGGCGAGGTGCTGGTATTGAGTGGCGAGGCACAGGTAGGTGGGTAAGTGGCGAGGTGCTTGTATTGAGTGGCGAGGTACAGGTAGGTGGTAAGTGGCGAGGTGCTGGTATTGGAGTGGCGAGGTACAGGTAGGTGGTATGGCGCGAGGTGCTGGTATTGAGTGGCGAGGTACAGGTGGTAAGTGGTGAGGTGCTGGTATTGAGTGGCGAGGTACAGGTAGGTGGGTAAGTGGCGAGGTACAGGTGGTGCGGCGAGGTACAGGTAGGCGGTATGGCGAGGTACTGGTATTGAGTGGCGAGGTACAGGGTGGTAAGTGGTGAGGTGCTGGTATTGGAGCAAGCGAGGTACAGGTGGTAAGTGGCGAGGCAGTGTAGGTGATAAGTGGCGAGGTACTGGTATTGAGTGGCGAGGTACAGGTGGTAAGTGGCGAGGTACAGGTAGGCGGTAAGTGGCGAGGTACTGGTATTGAGTGGCGTGAGGTACAGGTGGGTAAGTGGTGAGGTGCTGGTATTGAGTGGCGAGGCACAGGTAGGTGGGTGGGGCGAAGAGGTACAGGTGGTAAGTGGCGAGGTACAGGTAGGTGGTGGGGTGGCGAGGTACTGGTATTGAGTGGCGAGGTACAGGTGGTAAGTGGCGAGGTACTGGAATTGAGTTTCGGGGTAGTGGTAGACAGTGAGGTAGAGTATTGCCGTTGTGACACAAGAGATGGTAGTGAGACACACCAGCCTCCTGTATAAGAGACACCAAGTCACAGTAGAGGGGAGGAAGAGGTCTGGCGGTAGTTAGTGTGGTGGCCAACAGATGGCGCGGAGGGTGCCTGCGGGGGATATATTAGGCACCATCATACCACTGTGAAAATCTCTCCCGGATTATGAACTAATAACCAATTACTAAATTTGACTTTCAAAACTTAGCCGATTATTAATCCGAGGAGAGAATTATAATGGATTTAATATTCTCAAAATCAAAAGTTACTTTGACTCCTGAGTAATTATGAATTATGACCACAGAATCCTGGGGGAGTCATTAGCCGGGTTTAGTTCGGTAATCCATCCCTAGAGTGCACTGGTATCTGTGATAGTGATTTGTGACGTCATAAAATGTTCCTGCCACTTGACCAATCACAGGGCCTGATCCCATGTCAGTCATGCCTTAGCTCCGCCCACCCGAAAAGATTTGGACAAGTTTGGTATAAATCACATTGTGTTCTCCGCGTGACGTCCATCGGGAGCGTCGCAACTCACACATCAGAGTGTAGTGGGTCTGGCTACCTCGCTCTCTACCACCAGCCAGCTACTCAAAGTCTTAAAACTTGACAAAATTAAGTACAATACAAAACTCAGGTCAGCAACTGGCAACTAGCTTAAGCTCCGCCCACTCCCTCTGGCGGTGGGCCGTAAGAAGATTCGGTGCTCACCAGTTGGTAGTACGGTATTGTGTGTGGTCGCGTAGAGAAGTACCGCTCCTCTCTTAGTTAGTTTTAACTTAGTGGCGTAGTTATAACGTAGCTAAACCCACTACTTTGCAATTATGATCATGGATGCCGCTGCCACCGTGGAGAACCCCGTGGGATCCCCCAGTGAAGTGCCCAACGATCCAGGGTACGTCGCCCACTGCTTTTGCTGGCGAAAAATCTCCTCACACAATGTTTGGCCATAATGGTGGAAATGATGAGCGAAACTCTCCGTCACCTCACAAAGGATTAATAATAAAAGAGCTCTTTATCTCACATGAGGAAAACCAAGTTGGCTGTTCTCTCCGTGCAAAGAAATAATAGTCATGAGAAACAAATGATATAATAATTGTTTATAAAAAAAAAGCTTTGTGACTGTATGGAGATCAGTAAATCACTCAGCGTTGATATGTTAATATGTATAATAAAAAGAGTTATGAGAATAATGATATATTTGTTAGAGGAGAAGCAGTTGACGAGTGACTTAAAACCGTATACTCGGAAACATGAAAATTAAAAAAAGTTTACATATATATATAAAAAAGATATAAAGTATATATTTCTATTATGAAAGTTTATACCGTTATACCGCGTTCAATAATTGTTCTTTACCAACTCACATCTTTTGCGTTTTTCTTGCAGCAAAATGTTCATCGGAGGACTCAGCTGGCAAACCACAGCAGGTAAGAGTCTAATTATCATCTATACCTGTGTCATTACTGTCTCCATGTATAGCATGTATCTCTACGGCAGTTCAGGGGTGAGGTCTAATTCCTTCACCTGGCCACAGCTACAACCAACAACACCTTTTTATAACCCGTGTACTAGTGTGTCTTTATAACTCACTTCACATTATAACCCCGAGGAGCTGTTATAATCAGTCACTTGGAAACACCTGAAAAACGGGGTTACAATTGGGGTTGATTTTTCGGGTTGTGAGGTAATGTGAGAGAAGAGGTAGGGAGGGAGGGAGGGCCAAGTTGATCCTTCATTTAATACTGTAGAAACAGTACCGGCTGAAGGGGTTGGTGTAGGAGCGGTCACCTATAGCCCCTCCGACCTTGGCCTGGCGAGCATGAGTACAATTAGGGACAATAATTCTGGTTTGTGCGTGTACGAATTATCGGGGATAATTTTGGTGCGTGAAAATATTATTTACCTAAAAAAATGGCCCTTGGTTGATGGTTGGTTGGCGCGTTTGGTGGGACAGTGATTCTTTGGGTGTGTGTTCCTCTTCCACCTTGAGCTGACCATCATACACTTAGCCGCATTATTCCTGCCTTTATCTCCCTCTACGAGTTATTGGATAATTTGTAACATAAGGAATGGTTGAGGAGCTTGGAGAGAGGGAGAGAAGGGGAGGGAGATGGGTTTGTGGTGGGGGTGGTGATGGCGACGCTTGGGATACGCCTGAATATATGTACGTATGTCTGTATGTGTGAGTGTGTAGGTTCAAATAGCCGTGGATTTTAATATTTTTGTAGTGTGATTTAGGTTTCATTTCTAAGACTCCCAAACAGCGACTGATGTTACACCGGGTGTTTGTGTGAGGGAGTGAAATCATCTCTCCTCTGATATTTTAATTCCATTTATCTTTCTAACTTAAAAAGGAAAAAGAAAATGGTTTAAATTTACCCCCACAGTGATATAATTTGCTGTGAGTCAGTCCACTACCGCCAGATTAATTTCTCAGCGCTACTGTGAGTCTTGTTTTTTATAATGAATTAATAATGACTTTTTAGCTCCAGTGGAATTGTTCCGAGTGTTTTAAATGGCCTGAAAATGACCACTTGAGGACACCAACCATTAATTACTCACCAGTTTCATTAAAAAAATATATCAAAATTCCTGTAAAAAAAACAACCCTAACAAATCAATTAATGTAGGTGGTAAATGTGTGTGTGTGTGTGTGTGTGTGTGTGTGTGTGTGTGTGTACAGTTCACTGGTTATATAAATTCTGGTTGCATCATAGCGGGGTTACTGAACAGGTGTAAAAATTATTCTGTACAGGTAGGTAAGGTTAGGTTAGGTAGGTGGGCAGGTAGAGGCAGAGTTGGGTTAGGGATGGTGATTAACCTGTGTGTCTGTGATGTTACCTGTGACTCCAGCTAAACTCTGACTGATAATCCAGGTGAGGAAGATGATTCTGTTCTTCACTATTACACTAATTACAAAACGGCCGCGATTGTTACATCAAAATTAGACCTGGAGGGAATGTGGGCAACCGCTTAAGGGGAGCGAAGGCTACAGGGAGAGGAGAGAGAGAGGGGGGGGTGGGAGGGACATGTAGCAGCCCTTAGATATGACCCTAATGCTGTGTGGTGGTAGTACTTTTTGTGTGGTGATTGTGGTGGTGTGGTTGTGATGGTGGTACTTTTTGTGTGGTGGTGGAGTTTATGGTGGTGGTGATGGTGAAGATGTTGGTGATGTTTCCTCTAGCCGTATATGTATGTAAATCTGCTACATCTCTGTATGTGTATGTATGTACTGTATGTGTGAGTGAATCTGCTAACCAGTTTTTATATGTATATATGTATAAATCTCCAACCTCATCTTATACAATATACATCTCTCTCACATACACACACACACACATACACCACCTTATTGTATTTCTGTTTTTTTTGTGTATATTTAGGTGGGTCGTGGGGTCACTATTCCGGTGTTGTATTCACGGTGTGTTGACTCCTGTGATAGTTGTGTAATTGTTAAGTTGCTGTGTTATTATTATTATTATTGTTATTATTAGTGGAGCTTTTGTGTTTTATTTTTTTGGTTAACGTAAGAGGGTGGAGGAGGTTAGGTTAGGTTAAGTGTTTGGAGGTGTTGTAATACTTTGTGTGTTGTGATGTGTTGCAGTAGTGTGTTTGTTGTAAGAGTGTGGTTGTGTGTGTTGTATAGTAACGTGTGTGTGTTTCGTGGTGTTCCTCCGTCCGTTATGTAGCAGGCCATTGGTATATAATGTATGGTGCTAATGTGTTCATTTCTCTTAATAATCTCGGTAAGAAATATAATGTGTGGCTGCCGCACTTAATGGTTTATTGACTCACAGATGTGGAAGTGTGACGGCTGAGGGACTTGTAATTATTAGTGGGATTATTACAGACAGAACACAGGTTAGATTAGGTTTGGCTAGTTCGGGTTGAGGTTTAGTTAAGTTAGGTTGGGTTAGTTTAGGTCAAGTTAGGTTTGGTTAAGTTAGGTCAGTTTAGGTTAAGTCAGGTTCGGTTGATTTCATGATGGACTTTAAATTGTGTTTTAAACATTCTGACTGAGACCGAGTGATTATATACTGGCGATGAGGGTAGCTTGTGTGTCCAGAGATATACATACACATGCTCTCAATCAATCTATCTCCTGTTCATACATATATATACATACATCTATACATACACGTTTGTGAAATATCTAAACGTAATTATTAACTCTGGTTTATATAGTGTATAAATGTATAACAAATTAATAACGAATGTATTCCTTTAGGTAATTTTTTTCACATTTAAAATACGAAATAGACCCGCGACTGTAATAAAAAATAAAGGATTTATTTTTTGTATTTTGTATTATGTAATTGTTATGGTTTTTTACGACTTAGGACTTTATAAGTGGTCTGTTTGTCGCTTTTTGTATCTAGCGCCGGTACAGTGGGAAACAGGGTACGGTTTACGTATCTAGAGCCGGTACAGTGTGATACAGGGTACGGATTATGTATCTAGTGCCGGTACAGTGGGATACAGGGTACGGTTTATGAATCTAGAGCCGGTACAGTGTGATACAGGGTACGGATTACGTATCTAGTGCCGGTACAGTGGGATACAGGGTACGGTTTATGAATCTAGAGCCGGTACAGTGTGATACAGGGTACGGTTTACGTATCGTGAGCCGGTACAGTGTGATACAGGGTACGGTTTACGTATCTAGAGCCGGTACAGTGTGATACAGGGTACGGATTACGTATCTAGTGCCGGTACAGTGGGATACAGGGTACGGTTTATGAATCTAGAGCCGGTACAGTGTGATACAGGGTACGGTTTACGTATCTAGAGCCGGTACGTGATACGTACGGTAGAGCCGGTACAGTGGGATACAGGGTACGGTTTATGAATCTAGAGCCGGTACAGTGTGATACATGGTACGGTTTACGTATCTAGAGCCGGTACAGTGTGATACAGGGTACGGTTTACGTATCTATACGGTACCGGTTTATGTATCTAGCGCTGGTACAGTGGGATACAGGGTACGGTTTATGTATCTAGAGCCGGTACAGTGTGATACGGTACGGTTTACGTATCTAGCGCCGGTACAGTGTGATACAGTATACGGTTTATGTATCTAGCGCCGGTACAGTGGGATACAGGGTACGGTTTATGTATCTAGCCGGTACAGTGTGATACAGGGTACGGTTTACGTATCTAGCGCCGGTACAGTGTGATACAGGGTACGGTTTATGTATCTAGAGCCGGTACAGTGTGATACAGTATACGGTTTATGGTATCTAGCGCCGGTACAGTGTGATACAGGGTACGGTTTACGTATCTAGCGCCGGTACAGTGTGATACAGTATACGGTTTATTGTATCTATCGCCGGTACAGTGTGATACAGGGTACGGTTTACGTATCTAGAGCCGGTACAGTGTGATACAGTATACGGTTTATTGTATCTATCGCCGGTACAGTGTGATACAGTATACGGTTTATTGTATCTATCGCCGGTACAGTGTGATACAGTATACGGTTTATGGTATCTAGCGCCGGTACAGTGTGATACAGTATACGGTTTATTGTATCTATCGCCGGTACAGTGTGATACAGGGTACGGTTTACGTATCTAGAGCCGGTACAGTGTGATACAGGGTACGGTTTATGTATCTAGCGCCGGTACAGTGGGATACAGGGTACGGATTACGTATCTAGTGCCGGTACAGTGGGATACAGGGTACGGTTTATGAATCTAGAGCCGGTACAGTGTGATACAGGGTACGGTTTACGTATCTAGAGCCGGTACAGTGTGATACAGGGTACGGTTTTTTATCTAGAGCCGGTACAGTGTGATACAGGGTACGGTTTACGTATCTAGAGCCGGTACAGTGTGATACAGTATACTATGTATCTATCGCCGGTACAGTGTGATACAGTATACGGTTTATGGTATCTAGCGCCGGTACAGTGTGATACAGTACGGTTTATGTATCTATCGCCGGTACAGTGTGATACAGTATACGGTTTATGGTATCTAGCGCCGGTACAGTGTGATACAGTATACGGTTTATGGTATCTAGCGCCGGTACAGTGTGATACAGTATACGGTTTATGGTATCTAGCGCCGGTACAGTGTGATACAGTATACGGTTTATGGTATCTAGCGCCGGTACAGTGTGATACAGGGTACGGTTTATATCTAGCGCCGGTACAGTGTGATACAGTATACGGTTTATGGTATCTAGCGCCGGTACAGTGTGATACAGTATACGGTTTATGGTATCTAGCGCCGGTACAGTGTGATACAGTATACGGTTTATGGTATCTAGCGCCGGTACAGTGTGATACAGTATACGGTTTATGGTATCTAGCGCCGGTACAGTGTGATACAGTATACGGTTTATGGTATCTAGCGCCGGTACAGTGTGATACAGTATACGGTTTATGGTATCTAGCGCCGGTACAGTGTGATACAGTATACGG